TGTTCCTGTGAGATATTCCGTCTTCTACAAAACACACATTGGTTCTCTTTACTGGTTCCCTACCTTGTAATTGTGTGAGATATTACATCTTCTACACAACACACACTAGTTCTCTTTACTGGTTCCCTACCTTGTGTTCCTGTGAGATATTCCGTCTTCTACAAAACACACACTGGTTCTCTTTACTGGTTCCCTACCTTGTAATTCTGTGAGATATTCTGTCTTCTACACAACACACATTGGTTCTCTTTACTGGTTCCCTACCTTGTGTTCCTGTGAGATATTCCGTCTTCTACACAACATACACTGGTTTTCTGATCTCCAATGTCTACCACACAAGCACTGCGCCCCTGACCCAAAGTCGCACATACCGATTCCTAGGAGATAAACAGATTTATGTAACATGCCTGTAGCTTTTCCCAGTCATACATATCAGAAAGCTGGATTTGCTGATATTTCTCAAAAGTGTATAAGAGTAAGTTTACAATATTGCAGTGTTGTACATTCAGTGGTTAGTTTTCAATATTACAGTATTGTACATGCAGTGGTTGGTGACTTTTACTAACCTGGTGGAGATGGCCCTGCCAAACCCCAGTCTGTCCAACAACAGGGTCATCAAGTGCTTAGTGTGTCTGTGACTGAATACGTCAGGAATTAACAGCATGGCCTTATACATCTGAAATATCAACATCAAAAATCAACATAAGAAATCAACAACATGGCCTTATACATCTGAAATCAACATCAGGAATCAACATGGACTTATACATCTAAGACATCAACATGATAACATCAAAAATCAGCAGCATGTCTTTATAAATCAACATCAGGAATCAACAGCATGGTTCATACATCGAAAATCAACATCAGAAATCAACATCAAGCATGGTGTTATAAATCAGAAACACAAACAGGTTTCAACAGCATGGCTTGATACATCTGAAATATAAACATCAGGAATCAACAACATGGCTTTACATCTCAAAAATCAACATCAGAAATCAACAACATGGCTTTATACATTTGGACATCAACCATATGAAACAACATACAATCAAGCAATCTAGACATTTTTGTAGCAACAGGATGTTAAAGATTGACCAAGTGAACTTTGAGTGGTATATCTAGGATTGTGTCTATTGAGTGGTATATCTAGGTGTGTCTATTGAGTGGTATATTTAGATGTGTCTGTTGAGTGGTATATCTAGATGTGTCTATTGAGTGGTATATCTAGGGTGTGTCTATTGAGTGGTATATTTAGATGTGTCTGTTGAGTGGTATATTTAGATGTTTCTGTTGAGTGGTATATCTAGGATTGTGTCTATTGAGTGGTATATCCAGATGTGTCTATTGAGTGGTATATCTAGATGTTTCTGTTGAGTGGTTTTCTAGATGTGTCTGTTGAGTGGTATATCTAGATGTTTCTGTTGAGTGGTATATCTAGATGTTTCTGTTGAGTGGTATATCTAGATGTGTCTGTTGAGTGGTATATCTAGATGTTTCTGTTGAGTGGTATATCTAGATGTGTCTGTTGAGTGGTATATCTAGATGTTTCTGTTGAGTGGTATATCTAAATGTTTCTGTTGAATGGTATATCTAGATTTTCCTTTTGAGTAGTATATCTAGATGTGTCTTTAGTTAAGTTTTATCTTGAGGTCTCTGAGTGGTATATCTAGATGTTTCTGTAGTTAAATTTTACCTTGAGGTCTTTGAGTGGTATATCTAGGTGTTTTTGTAGTTTTACCTTGAGGTCTTTGAGTGGTATATCTAGGTGTTTTTGTAGTTTCACCTTGAGATCTTTTAATTTTTACCTTGAGGTCTTTGAGTGGTATATCTAGGTGTTTTTGTAGTTTTACCTTGAGATCTTTGAGTGGTATATCTAGGTGTTTTTGTAGTTTCACCTTGAGATCTTTTAATTTTTACCTTGAGGTCTTTGAGTGGTATATCTAGGTGTTTTTGTAGTTTTATCTTGAGATCTTTGAGTGGTATATCTAGATGTTACTGTAGTTAAGTTTTACCTTGAGGTATTTGAGTGGTAAATCTAGATGTTACTGTAGTTAAGTTTTACCTTGAGTTCTTTGAGTGGTATTTGTAGATGTTTCTGTTGTTTTTTAAAGTTTTACCTTGAGGTCTTTGAGTGGTATATCTAAGTGTTTCTGTAGGGCTGTGGCCCAGATGGCCTCTATATCTGCCAGTACGGCTGTCAGGGTGCCTCCTGGACCATCATGAATGTTTAGCCTCCCCCGCCGCATTGGCCAGTGTAGATTGTAATTGTGTGCTGGGTTCACATACATGGCCTAATAAAAAGATTCTAATAGTCAAGTCCTGGCATGAAATATCTTATTATTGGTTTGTACCTTACAAGGATGGAAGAGGCAACATTTTGAAAAATCTTTTATACATTGTCAGATAGCTTTATTAATTGAGGTAACTACGGAAGTGAAAACAGCTATGAACTCTGACCTCTTGACCCACAATGAAGGAAGGCTGACTTTCAGTCCTTGTCCACATCTGTTGACATATGACCTCCGTCCTTTGACCTTTGACTCCATGGTTATAATTATATAACTACAGTGTAAGAAATTCAAGAAATAAAAAAATTTCGTGTGGTCAGGAAACCATTAACTAAAATACTTTTCTTCTTGTCTAAGTAGAACATGTACTGAATCAGATCATGTGCATGCATACATCTAATGCTTTTCCTTTGGCTAGAGTTAAGTCAGTGAATACACGTACCTGTTTAACTGATGAGGTCTGTCTGTATTCTCCTGTAGACATCGGTCTGGCCCCCACAGCCTCCTCTGCCTGTTTAGTCCAACCTTGAACTGCGGCTTGGCCTCGGAATGCTGTTAATATGGATATAAAAGACTTGTGTTGAAATGAGGACTTTCCATATATACAGATATTGAGCAGTATTTTCAATTAAAATCATTTCAGTTATACATGCAACTTGATTTAAAATAGAAGTTTATACATCTATGACAAGCAGTAATGAAAATGCATGCATGATCAAGTATTTTAACATCAGGCCAAAGTTATTATCTAGGTTTACGGATTCTTTCAACCAAAATGTCCATTGGGTGGTGACAAAATAAAAATAATTTGAAACTTCTTTCAAACAGAAATAATTCATCATGTTAAACTATATTTTATTAATTATCAAGTAACAGATTATCTCAACTTATTTTAGTGAAACCCTACAATGTTGCCTATTTCCTTTTATTAGCATGACCTTATGTCTACCAATATTTATTTTCTAAAACCTGAAAAAATTGGTCGGTGGATCTGTAAACTGAAAAATGTAAAAACTATGGCCTAACCAGAAGGAAAGAACCAAAATCGATTAAAATCACTTTATGTGACAGAGCTACTTACAACACATTCCGGTCTGAGTATGAGGGAGCCGGAGGTCCTGGTCTGTGAGATTCTCTTCCTGGCTATACACTGGGGGATGGTCACTGGCAGGGGGTCGGAGGCTCGACCAATCCGCAGGTTCAAAGAACCTGGGTGAATGATGACAATAGTGGAGGTCTGAACGGGCTAATGTAATACAACAAAGCAAGCACTGTTAAAAATTTACAGACTACTGTAATCCAACTATTATTTACGTGATCTTTTATTCGAGATTCATCAATTTGAAATCAATCCGCAACAATTAATTTTCGTCTTTGAGGCAATGTTCTCTATAAATACTTATTAATAAGAAAAATGGATGGTTCGCAGCGATTATTATTCGCGAGTTAAAGAAAGTCACGAAACTAGCGGATATTTCTTGCATACGAATAAAAGTTGGTTTACAGTACCTGATTTAAGTAATACATATAAAATTTACAGGTTAACTTCATAATCCTAAATATTTAAACCAAATCCTAAACATACATGTAACGTTTCCATGTTGACAATCCAGTAAAGAAAAATTTAACTCCAATGAAATGTCTTACTATGGCTTGGAAAAATCATTTAAAATATTCTGATATGTAAATAATTGATGTAAGAGATTCATTTTAGATATCTTGTCTCTGACTGGCACTGAAAGTTTAAGTAAATATTGAGTAAGTACGTGTATAAAAGGGTCGTTTCTTATTCACACATTTACTAAATATAATTTACATTGACTTTCAATGCCTTTGTGTCTCTGGATCTAGTTAGGAACAGTCTAACAGTACCAGTATTGTTATTCTTGACAGGATACAGGATACGATAGGATACACGCATGATACGATAGAATACACGCATGATAGGATACAAGCATGATAGGACATTATAAAAATGTAAAGAATAACAATGTTGGTACTGTAGCTGTAGAACTGTGAACTATGGTTTTATATATGTATATGGTGTTTGACCATAACACAGTGGCTACAGATCCCTTAATGCTAAAAAGGCAGAGTTCTCAAGAGCTGACACACCCAGCGATTTCTCACCCCCTACTTGTTGCAAATTCGCCGCCTACTTTAATTAGAACTCAAAAAATGTTTTTAACACTTAGGATTTTCTTTCATGAAGAAGTATACAACGTTTATTGTCGTAACACCACATAGAGATGATGACTGTTACTTTAAAGTATAATTGATCCCAATTTTCAATTGTTACCCAATGTCACATTTTTGCACACTTCTGAGGATAACTTCTCCACTTTTCAGCATAGTCAATAAACTACCATTCACTCCCTAATTCAGGACACATCTGTAACATAAAGTTGTATATTTTATCCACCTCCCAACCCTTTATAGTTGTCTTTTGGAGATAAACTTGCTTGTACAGGTCCAGTCCAAAGACTATTTCTACCTACTTAGCTATAAAAACCTACCCAAAGTACTAGCTATTTTTACCTACTTTCTGCTTTACTCGCATTTTGTGGCCAAATGCAGGAACAGTGCAACATGGTGAGCACTGAATTTCTTGATACAGTCACACTGATGATGGATATGACAAAAATTTGACCAAAAAATTATTACTTGGTATATAATCAATTTTGCATAGAAACTAATGTAAAATTGCCACTTCAGGAAGTAATCATTTATTGGCCAAAATTTTATCGTATTCATCAACAGTGTGACAGTATCAAAAAATATGGTGTACACACATGTATTCACCATGTTGCGCCGTTCAGTCTTTTGGCCACAAAATGTAGATAATACAAAAAGTAGGTAAAAATAGCTACTTTGGGTAGGAAAAAAATACCCACGTACATGTAGCTATTAATAGCTAAGTAAGTGGAAATAGTCAATGGACTGGAACTGTTGAAGTGAATTTTCAGCAATCCAACAAATAATTCTAATCATGGGAGTTTACCTCCAATGAGACGACTATAAAGGGTTGGAACTTGGGAGGTGGATAAAATATACAAATAATAAATTACAGAATCATGTGTCTAGAATTAGGGAGTGAAAACTAGCTGAAAGATCAAAGCTGGAAAGTGGATAAATTCAACAGGTCCAGGAAAATCACTATATTTAGCTATATAGCTAAATCTACTTATATAGCTTTATTTACCTATATAATATAGCGCTAGCTTTATTTAGCTATTTCAGAGTAAATTTCTGTTTTATGAAAAGCACTTAAAGCAGACAAAAAGTCACAAAATGAGGCAATATCAGTTTTCAACTTTGCAATGGACTGAACCAAAAACCCACTTATAAAAATGTTTCTCCTTTTGTGCAATTGCAATCAAAGATATAAGAGCTTTGGGGCTATGTATAACAGTTAATCTGTGAGTAAGCAGTTACTTTAACAATGAAAAGCAGTTTTGGTCAACAAGATAATTGATTGGTAATAACTGAGCACAATGCAAGGCAATCACACTTGGTCATGTCTCACCGCACTTTAGCTATCCAAACAATAGAGATGCATTTTTTTGGTTAAAAAGTTATTAAACTCTGTCCCACCAAGTTACTGTAAGCACTTTTCGCATAATATCTCAAAATATATAAATACCTTGGCCTTCAACCCGCTTCCGATCGATAGATCATTTTTTTTTCAACCTTCCTCCGTTTATCCGAACCCTCGAGGTCAACCAGTGTAAACACACGGCGGCAAATTCAAAGTCTACGGGGATTTAACATGGTAAACTCGTCCATTAGCGTCTAGAATACGGGGCCGGGAACCAGTTTTCGAAGGGAGTAGTCGTTCTTTGCAAAGTAAATTTCCAAAAAATTGTTAAAAATTAAAGGAATTAATTTAAATTGCTTTTATTGATAATATAACTTTTACTTTGAATTAAAATAAATTTTAACAGCATTTAACAAATTTAATTATAAACTGCGAGAAAATAGTCCGAATTTAACGAAGTACAACTTGTGGATAATGGATGTTGACATGATGATGCAAGCTCGCCAGTGTTTAAAACGTAAGTTGTTTATTTATTCTATGGTATTTTTGCAGCTGTTGTTGTTTTACTAGCTTATATACACACATGAAAGAAGTGTCTACAAATGCTAACAATTATTCATATTTCAAAACGCGTGATATAATTGCTGACATTAGATATCGACGATACATCAATTTCAGCCATCTGGTTAGTGCTCATGGTTAACCGTTAGTGCTCTTTAACGGTCTGTATGTAAGCTCATGTGTGAAAAATGTAAAGGGGTGTTTCTATGATTATAAAAGAACAAGAATATGGTTTAAAATATTAGGTGAAGTAATACCAAAAAGAAAATAACAGCTGGTTAACATAGTGACTAAAGTTTTTAAATTTCATTTCTACTTTCATTTTCAATTTATAACATTTCATGCATTTTGCAAATAAATAACATCTTTAAAAAAATGTTTGATTGCCCTGTTCCAACCAACTGGCTAAAATGACTCAAAACTTTATTTTAAATCTCTAGGAAGCAATTTTTTTTTTTGTATTCTGGAGAATAAATTTATTTATTAAAATTTAATTATAATTAATTTTTCTGAGAATAATTTTCTCATCTACCTAGTACCTACCAACCTAATCCTGACTTGGGAGAGCTAGGGCAAGACCAATGCAATTTATAGTGGCACAACAGCATTGTTTTTTCTGTAAAGTCCTATACTGCTCAAATGTGAACTTAATTTGAAAATTTCTGTTTCCTTAATTCCTAGAAGATTTTCCTTTTAAAAGGACACAATGAGTCATAATCATGTTTTTCTTTTAAGATATCTGTAGCATACAGAGAAAGACTTATGAAAATTATGAGTATATAGCTAAGATATGACAATTAAACTGCAAGGGAAAACTGCACGATATAAGTCCCGGAAAAACAAAGGTTGTATCTACAGTTTCGTTGTTTTCGTGTTTGTCAAGGTCACGCCACTTTTATTTTTAGCTCAAAATTGTAAACAGCATTCAACTGGAGCATGCAAAGGTGAGAAATGTGACCTATGTTCTAACGTTTTAAAAGATTGCCTGTGAAATTTTTGTCTACTTACACTGTACATTCATTCCTGGGTACCATGGTAACTATGGAAACTTATTCAACTTTTCTGCACACACGTACAATGGGGTGGAAGAAGTATTGAGCAATATTTTCCGTCTGGGGCATACAAAAATTTTTTTACTTTTATTTTTCTCCTTAAAAATAGAATTTTTAGGTTCTGAAATCCGTAATTCTCTGAAATTAAACCCAATACTTTTAGGAATTGAACAAAATTAATAAGGGTCATGCAAAAATTCTACATTTGTCAATTTTCCCCTTTGTGCATCACAATGCCGCTTTAAGTATTTGTTTTTAAAAACCGTAGGCCATAATAAAAATATTTATATTTGATGTACTCTGACACACTTTTTTCAAGGTGGGTAGGTAGGTATCTTTTTTGGCTTAATAGCTGTATTGATCAAATTGATATTAAAGTGTCATTAAAAAATTACAGACTCAGAAATTTATTAATTTTTTCAATACACTGGATAACTCGACAGATGAAATATTTATCGTTAAAAAATTTTGAATCTTAAAGCATCCAAGAGAAATCTTATACCACAGTTTTAAAATGGATGGCCTCTATTTCTAATAAATGAAACAAAATTTAAAAAAAAAAAATCAAAAATTCAAAGTGCTGAAAAAATGTTTGGGTTGGGACAATGTTATGATGGGTCGATCAGTCTGAGTACATCAAATAATTTTTTTTATATTGTTGTCCTTATTTACTAGTACTGTATTTGTATAGCTTGGTTGACTTGACCTTTCAGCTTTGACCTACTTTACAAAGAATACCCCAGATAATTTAAATTAACTTAAGACTTTAAGTGACAGGTGTGGATAATTTAAATTTATACGGGTACATGTTTATGAGCTCATTATACATGTACTGTTCTTTGAAACTGTATGGTATTCAGTAAACCACACAAACTGATATCTTAAATACACATGCCTTTGGATCGCTAAAAGAAATTGTGTGTGTAAAAGAAATATTTCATTTTACACCTCAATTTTTTTCTAAGTGATCTTAAGGCCTATGCTTAAATATTATGAAAATAAATCAGGATTGGATCCCACAAAGTGGATCATGCAATGTGACAATTGCTTTGAAACGTACATATTATCACATGTAAAATAATAAATAATTACTTATGATTTCAACTTAATTATTCAGTTGAGGGTTGCGTACTGTTTATTCTAGTAGGATAAAAATAGCTGACCACTCTTAGAGTTAATATTTGGTACATCTTTAAAGAAGCTAAAAGAAAGTGACACATGTGTTCCTTGGAACACTTTAGTTTATGATGAAATTGATGTAATGTTATACACTTTTATGACACTTTCTTTTCTTTCAGCAATATTTAGCTTGATTTAGCCACTGCAGTATAAAGAAAGAAGCAGACCAGAAACCTTTGGCTAAAGCAAAGATGATATGCATATCAAAAGCAGTAAGTTTACTAGTATAATATTCAAAATCTTCAAAATATCCTGTCTCTTTTAAATACATATATTGGGAATGAATTTTTGAAGCTCTGAGCACCTGATGTCTATACATGTTACAATTTTCCCTCTAATCTTTCAAGTGTATATTTTTCCCTCAGCATCTTTAATCTTCTTCTCAAGAACCACTGGGCCAGAAAAGCTGTGAAACCTCCAGAAGCATCCTGGAGTAGTGTAGATTCTACATTTTTCAAATTATGACCTCTGGGGTAGGGTGGGGCCACAATAGGGAACCAAAGTTTTACATTGGAATATAAAAGAAAAATCTATTTAAAAAAATCTTCTTGGGAATTACTTGACAAGCAAAGCTGAAACTTAGGCCAAATAAAAAAAGTAGGTGAGGTTCTGGTTACACCATCAAAAAAATTAGGTTAGGTAGGTAGGGGATTTTTTTTTTTTTTTTTTTTTTTTACAAAATGATATTTTAAATGTTTCTTCATAATATACCTATCACTGCAATGCAGGTAGCATTAAGATGGGGCATGATAATATACTAGTCAACATAGGTGGGTGCCTATAGTTATGAAAATCAAACCCTTGGTCATTATTCTGTAGCGGTCATTATTCGTCATTTTTTTATTTGGCCTTATGTGAAATCACTGTGGGGTAGTGTAGATTTTAAATTGTCCAAATTATGACCCCGGGGGTAGGATGGGGTCACAAAAGGTATAACAAGGGGGAAATTTGGTAAAGAACTGCATGGTCAAAGGTATTCAGGTAAGCGATGTGGCTCATGGGCCTTTTGTAACATTTTCTTTCAAAATGCTATTGCAATATAGAAATTATGATATTTTACAGAAAATTTGAGAAAATATTAACTTCAGTACTTAAATACTGCACAACCTCACCATTTAAAAGAATAAACAAACATTGCTAAAAAAATGTAATAATAACTGAAGCATAGAATATTTAATTTTACATTTATTACTTACTGTAACAATATGATGTTTTTATAGGTTACATAATTTACAAGAGTCTGAAGTTATGATGACCATGCAGAATCAAGATATTGTAACAAAGACATGCCTGCATGAAGAAGACCATTCACTCAATTTTTCAGAATAATGTGTCAGATTGAAATTCATCTTATGTTGGACAAAACAATCAGGACATTCTTCTGGATCACAGCTAGTAAGTGTTTATATGAATGAAAAAGATTTTGCTCTTCCTATGTATACTTCAGATTGGAACCTGAAAATGAGAATTGACCAAGTATATTTTTTTAAATAAATAAACAATTCATGTTACATGTAATATGATGAGCATGTGTCTTTAAATTTCACTTTGCACAAATTTAAAAGTATATTTTTTATGCACTGAATCTTTATGACAAATTAAAATGTTTTATCATTATTTTTTTCAGGCACAAAGTATTGACAAAACCAAAGATTTATCATTACCTGGTAGTCTGCAGATGGAGTGATCATTGGATGAGCCAGACAACACCATTTTCCTCAGAAATTTTAGAATATAGACTTGATCTCCATCTTCATTCATAGATGACTGATGTTGACATTTTCTCACTTCTGTTTCATGTCTTTTCTACAGCATGGACTCTCCAGCATCAGTGGACGCTTGACATTTATAAACATTTATTCTTCTGAATTTGATCTGATATCCTTAAATATAGGACAAACAATTCATTTATCCTTTAAAATATTTTTAAATTTTACTTAATAAAACAATGAAAACGGTTCAAACAAACTGGTTTATCCTGTAATCTAAAAGTGTTTTATGTTTGAAGCAATTTTTTAATTTTACAAAACTTATTAAAAATCTGTAAAGATACTTGGATCCTCAGCCAGGAAGGATAACTCTTTAATTTAATTTTATTTTTGATTCACACAAATTAAACAGAAATAATGATTTGAAATTAAAGGGCGAGACAGCTCCTTGACAATGGACCGAGACAGACATATCTCAGCCAGGAGGGCGAGACAGCCCTACTCACCAGGTTCTACCAGTCTCACCGAGTCCGAAACGTCTGTATCACGATCAGGGCTGGACTGATACACTACTATTATACTATAGGAATATGATATAGGCATATATACATGTTTGCGTACTAGGGAATTGTCAATGAAAAATGAATAAACATACTTAAAAGTTACAAATGCATAAGGAAAAAAATTTTGCTAGGACTGAAAATCAAACTCAAGACATTTGCATTTTTTCATACTTACAATATATCTGCAGGTATACTTATGGCTTAATGTATGTAATGTACACATATATGTATGTTTGTCCTTTTCTATCTTGTGTCTTCACCAGGCAGCTATTTAGTATCCTACAATGAAATTTTTGTTCTGAAAACTCATAAAACGTTTTCTGTTAAATAGTTTTATAAAGAGAAAAAAAAATTTATCCTTTACCCTTGCGTTTAAAGGCCAAAAAAAAAGGTCTCGTTTCCTGCTACCTGACCTATCCTATTTTTTGCAACCGACTCTGAAGTTTTTTCCTTAGTTTTGGGGGAAAATCTGGAATTTCATAAATTTCATGTTTCAAAAGTGAAAAAAATATATATATTCAAGTGGTATTTCATGAAATATATGTTTTAAATATGGACTTTCATACAATACTGATATTGAGTTATGCATCAAAAGACATTGATTTTAATTTCAAAAGATATACTTTTGATGTTTAATTTGGGTTCATATCCAAAAAATACAGTTTAGAAAAAATGAAATTAAAAAATAAAATATTTTTCCTACCTGTACTTGCCCTATTTTTTTTTCAGGCTGGTAGCAGGGAACAAGACTATTATTTTTTGGCCTTAATATATACATACTTTAATTTTTTGTGTATATGAATAAGTATTAAAATTTTGGTATTCTGTCATATTTATGGGAAACAAAAATTGTATATCCTGGGTCTGAATTTACCTAACACCGATATTACAGGAAGTTTTGGAAGGGCAAGGTCAAAATTCATTGGTGACGTAGTTTGATGCAGACAACAAATGTTGTTTTGCACTGAGGTTCAAAATAAAATATCAACGAGAGATTTATGTGTTTAAAGCGTTGGAAATATAACAAAGTCATGAAATATACTGTAGCATGTGCATATAAGGACATCACTTGTTTACACAGAAACGATATGATCATGATGCTCATTTTGACCGTGTGTTACAGTTTACAACAAACTATTAGGAGTTGGATTTATATGGAAAGCTAAGGCGAAACATTAAGGTAAGGCAGCAATTATAACTTTTAAAAATCTTGATACTATTGATATTTCTTCGATTGATCTCTACGTGTAAAAGCAGCAATTTCATTCAAGGTAAATTTGCAGTAGCCTAGCCTTGATGTTATGTATGAATATATATGAGTCATACCTCTTTGCAGCTGCTTTATGCAGTGTATAACTCTTTTATGAATCTTTGATCCCTTCAGTCTCAGTCTGGGTAGGAAAGTTTTGTTGTTTTGTTGAAGACGTAATATTTCTTATAGTATAAATATATGCTTGGCAGTCTCGGGCGTTATAGGTTTTTCGGACGTCGATAACAATAGAGCAATCCCGAACGTGTGTGACGTCATGTCCTTACAGACGGCAATGTACGGACAATTACGAACAACGGATGATCCCCTTCCGAAGTGGTGGCCATTTTGACAATGTTAAATCCCCGTAGACTTTGAATTTGCCGCCGTGTGTTTACACTGGTTGACCTCGAGGGTTCGGATAAACGGAGGAAGGTTGGAAAAAAATGATCTATCGATCGGAAGCGGGTTGAAGGCCAAGGTATTTATATATTTTGAGATATTATGCGAAAAGTGCTTACAGTAACTTGGTGGGACAGAGTATAATAGAGGCAATGTTTTTACTATCTATGCCCTAGGTTGTTTTTATCAAACCTTTTAACAGGTTGGGCACACACCCCCAAACGGTCATTTAACCCCCGTTTGGTGGTCAATCGCCCATATCGGCGTCTTTATTAACCACCAAATGGGAGAGAAAAATCGTTTTGTTCAGTTCTCTGGAAAGAAGTGAAATGGCGCATAATTTCAACTCACGGGGAATAAAATATAGATATTTTTCTAAACTTTGAACAAAAAAAATCAGAATTTCAACACGGGATTTTTTGCGCAGTGTTGTCAAATATTTGACAAAATTGTCACCTATGTAAACAAGTGTAACGTTTCTGTGTTTTAACTTAAAAAGAAAAATTCCCTCCATCTCGCGCGTAGTTGCACCTATCAATCGTGTTTATCACTTCATATTTCTGCCATCCGGGCAACCGATCAATTATCTTAACCAATAAAAAATGACGATCTATTCCGAACTTGGGTCAAAAGACTGATTTAACTACAAAGGCCCATTAGTGTCAATTTTCAACAAGTAAAATAAGGGGAAGGGTGAGAATTCGCTTTCATTTCATTTATTTTGTATGCAATGGCTTTATATTTTATATAAATACGATATGCAGTGTATTTATGATAAAATAATCGCTCGAAAACTATAATCTTGGAATAAAAACAAGAATAATTGCAAATGTTACTTTGTACATCTTTTATTCAAAAATATTTAATAAATATATTGAGATACATCATAGATATGCATACTAAACCATAAAGGGTCGCACAGAAGTCATAACTTCATCCTAAAAGAAAATAAATAAGAATATATGTTACATTCAAATGTAGAAAAAAAGAATATTATAGCAATAAGTGCCCACCATACGAATAAGATACGAGGAGCTCGTGTTTAACGGGATTTTACAGAGATTTATATAGACGCAGATTGAAAGATCGTTTGAAAAGTTACTTCTCTAGACTAACACCTCTTGTTTAAATATATTTTTTACCGAACTATACACAACAAAATAATTCTTCGTAATGTTTTAGCAAATAGTTCGGCCGTCACGAACAACTATGGGTTTCGTTTTTACGAAGTTCCAAAGAAATTCCACATGGAAAATTGACTAAATTGTATTAAATGGGCGAGGAATATGTTAATAAAAATTCCCCAATGCCTGAGTAAATGCGCTTTTGCTTTATTTTAATAAAAATTGGATTTGAATAAAAAAGACCACCATTTGGTAGGTAAAAAAGACGCCGATATGGGCGATTGACCACTATACGGGGGTTAAATGACTATTTGGGGGTGTGTGCCCAACCTGTTTAAAAAATACCAGCCATAATTTACATGTGACTTTTTGTCTGCTTTTCATAAAACAAAAACTTATTCCAAAATAGCTAAATAAAGCTATATTATATTGTTAAATAAAGCTATATAGGTGAATTAAGCTATATAGCTAAATATAGTGATTTTCCTGGACCTGTTCAAGAACATTTAGAACAGTCTGTACACAGTGGATTGACACGACTTATTTAATCTGTCTTCTATTTATTTGACCACCCCTTTACTATATTAAAGTGTATTTCACTGTATAGGGGTGGTCCAATTTACAGAAGACATGTAAGTCGTGACGAGCCCCTTGGGACTGTACAGAGATTCTAAGGATTTTAAAGCTGACATGAATTCTTAAAAACGCAACATTTTCAACTATGTACGACTTGTTTCATACCAACTATAGCCGTATTCCGCCATATTTCTTTCAGATACATTGTCTCATTGTAACGATATATACCCCAATGCGGTCGTTACACTTGAATGATCTTTGTGGCTTGGGTATCGACTTGTGCACATCTCCGATGGTAAAGCATATGAGAACACATGAGGTGATCAAGACATTTCAAAACCACAACAAACAACATAATAATCATATTTCTGAATAATTATTGATTTGAATCAGAAGGAAAAAATGCAAGTTTGGAAGAGAAATTTAGATGCATGAGTACGTATTTTACAGTGCGCCAATTTATGCAGAATAAGCTTGAAATAAAAAGCAGTATAATTTGCAAACACATTTTGAAATTATATCATTTGAATGGAACAAAACAACCTACGTCTTTGATTTGCAGGTCCTAAAGATGCAATTGATGCATATCGAGAAAACGCCTCGAACGCTGTAAACGTACCCATACCTGGAAATAAGGTTACTGCATCGGTTCAAAGATGTGCACAAGTCAAGTGATATACACCCTGAATCCCATTTATTGAAATATGCATCACAAAAAAGAAATAATCTCCATAAAAGCTCAATAGTAAACACACTGTCATTACTCCGTACAGACTAGCACGTCGATACACTTAGTCCGTGCTGATCACATTTTGATCAGGGAAAATATCACAAGTGGAAAGAGAACTTATTTGGGATTTGCGCTGCTGAAAAGGGGGGGGGTTTAAAGTATTATAACTGCTGTTCATAAGCTATAATTGTGAATTGTCTATCTACATGTACTTTTAATATACATTCTATACAAAGTCATGTATATAGTCTGCAGTTGGTTTGCGTCGCAAAATTCATTTGTCAATTATAACTGATTATTTTAGTACTAATCTCAAATCTAAACCAAGTAATTTGAGGCACGGTAATTATTTACTTCAAATCTTAAAAGCAATTCACCAGAATACAAATTTTTATGTGTACATCTATACGTTCATTAATACACACACAAACACGGAGAAAGGCCATCCCCTGTTCAGATTGACATTTAGGCATTTGATTTTTTTTTAGGCGCGGGGAGGGGGTCATGCAAAAATAATTGACATGACCGTTATTTAAATAGTCTTGGAAGACAGACATTTCTGCCGAATTCAATTTTGAGATTTTTTGAAAAATGTGTCACTTCGACCACAAAGTAAGTGCATTTTGAGGAATGTAACTGATTTGTGTTGTTACAGAGAGTCTTTCGAGATTTCAGTATCCCTGCCTGATAGTCTAGCTATTTTTTTGTATAAGAATAATTTCTTTAGGAGTATTTGAGAGATAATTTTAAGAGCTAGAGTAGGGATACTTGACACTGGTTGAATACGGATAATTTTTATTAACTCTTTTGTATATTGAACTCTCTCTTTCTCCCTCTCCCATCCGTTAGGGCAATAATAGGTATAAAATCCCACACACTTTATGCTGTACCATTTATTAAGCCTTAGATCTGATCAAGGATTTTTCTCAGACGGGATGTCGAAACTTCGTAAATTGAATAATAATTTTAATTTGGACAAGAAATTAACCCAAACGCCCAAATTGAAAGAGAAACTAGAGGTATTGTGAGCAATGAGCTCACTAAAGGATACCCCGCCTCCCATGTGGTTATACATGTAATGGCAGTCCATATTTTGCTGTTGTCGCTAAACCCAAAATATGTGTCGAATCAAAAAGCAGGCACGTAGCATCGTATTTAAAAGTGGTGGCCAGTCAGAGAATTCTTTTTAATTACCTGAAAAAGTTGACAAGCAAAAAACAAAAAACCCCAAAAAACCCCAAAACCTTCAATTAACATTTCCTATAGTATAAGTTAGGTCGAGGAAAAAAAGTGGGGCAGCCCCCCCCCCCCCCCCCCTGTTGCTACACCCCTGAAAAGTAAAATAGGAGCTACACCCCTGAAAAGTAAAATAGGAGTTGCACAATAGTAATATGTAATAAACCTTAGATTCTGTGAAAGTTTCATTAAATTTCATTAAGTGGTACAAGACGATTTGCGGATAAGAGATTGGTACCCCCAAAGCGTAAGAGACAGACGCACGGACAAACGAACGAACATAACGATTACTATATACCCTCCCACTTTTCAAGCGGGGGATATAACAAACGTGAAATATACATCACAGGAATGGGGACATTGGGTACTTTCTCAATTACCGTCTCAAACGTATGTGTCGAACCTGGACCTGGACAACAAACAAGAGAATTTTTAAAAAAGCTAATTGTAGGTAGAATGTGGAATTCTCATGGGGAGTTTGCTCTCTCTACCTATATGCTTTTTCTAATAATCATTAATTATTTATGTCTAGAAATTTAATTCACATTAAATTCTATTTTCATTATCATTGCACCACAGAATCAAACTCGTTTATTATACTCCTCGGAATAAGTTGCGTGCATGAGGTATAATGTTTTTGACCCGTCAGTCAGTCTTTTTTTCTTTTTTTTGGTCAGCGCAACTTCTCATACACCTCTGCACAGAGTTTTGTCCAATTTTGCAGATATTTATAGGAGACAATGTGTGTGTAGATTTGCACATCACCAGAAAATTCCGAATTCTTTATTTTTTCGGGAATTTCCGCACTTTCACATTTAGATTTTGGCCATATCTTGAAAATAGAGATGAACAGTTTGTTAGCGCAATTCCTCATAAACCGCTGCACACAATTTCGTCAAACTTTGCACGTATTTATAGGACACAATGTGTATAGATGAGCATAATACATGGAAATTGCGATTCCTTTATTTTTTCTGGGAATTTCAGCACGTTGACTTTTGGGGAAGCGTGGGGTATGTGAACTTGCTCACTTTTTTTCTTCCATTGTGCATAAAATTATAGATAACTTTGTATCAAATTATATTAGTTCTAATAAAGCCTATACATAGTATTTATTTGATAGAATTAATCTGTTTCAGACGTTTTTCTTAAATTATTTTTATGAGAGTATTAATATGCATGTTTTATTACCCCCCCCCATCCTATCACAGAAAAATATCTTCAAAAGGTGAATGATTCGTAACAATGCATGCTTTATTATAAATTCAAAGAAGTAAAACCATGTAATCATAAATTTATTTACTACATTTACAAACAAGAGTAATGTTTATTTTTGAAAAAAAGAATTTCAATCAACCCCACTGAGCTTTCAACCTTTGATATTTTCCCTGACCAAATAAAATGATCGGCATGGGCCACGTGTGTCCAAGCATCTTTTATTATTGAGTTAGCAATGGATTACATGACTTCTGAGATGCATTTTTCAATAAAAGTAAAATAGGATAATTCTTTCGACATGTGCACATCCCTGTAACGATAGCAGTATTCAGGTAAATGTTTTATCACTGCGTTTGACGCGTTTTCTCGACCTGCATGGATTTTTGCTGTACATAAATGTATTCCATGTTAGTGTACTTTTTATATTGCAGCAAATGCATTCAAAAATAATTTAAATCTCGGTATAGCTCTATTTTTTGTTGAATTTTTACTTTTCAAACATGTATTGGTCAGTTTGTGGACTTCTAAAAACTATGCTATCGGAGATGTGTACATGTCGACAGCCAAACTAGAAAATCACTCAAGTGAAACAGTTCTGCAGGGCTTTATATAGCAGGTACAGGTGGCCAAAAATCTTCGATTAAATATGGCGGAATCGAACAAATATGTCGGACAAGGGCGTTCAGGAATGTAGTAAGTCGTACAAAGATGAAAACTGATGCCTTTTTAAGAGTTCATGTCAGCTTTAATGTATCTAGTCCGTCTTACCTCGGTTATGGGTTCTGGATTTTGAATATACAACCTTTTTGTAGCATTTGATGGCATATTGTAAATATCAAAATATCAAAACAACCCGGGATCAAAACCCCTCAAACTGGACAAACGTGCAAACAATGAAAGTTGAAACATGAGAAAATTCTACTTTCGTTTTAAAATGAAACTTGCACGGAGATATGGTTAACTCTTACTTTATAAACTCGGATTTTTCTTCAGATATTTTCAATTAAGATCTTTAGAGATCCAATTTTTTTTTTATAAGAGCAACACAAAGAAAAGAATGACTGCACTTAAGGACGTTATTTGGAACCTTTTCGGCTACCCATTTTAAGCTTAACATTACAATATATCGCTAAATTAATCTATGATTAATGTGCAAGCACATGTTTTTGATATTTATTTCTAGAATTTTTCGTCATGCATATTTCTATAATTACATACAACGCATGTTTAAGCCATAAATTCCGGAAAATTGAACTGGACCGCTTTCGATTTTAAGGTGGCAGCAAGGGGTGGAGACATTTAAATCGCATGGAAATGGATCATAAGCACATGGTTTTCCGTATTTGATTTACATTATATATGAAAAAGGCGGAGAGGAGGGTTTTGTGTTCATTGTGTACAAAAAATAAATGATTTATAACCATGCATATAATGTCATTACTTTGTATCCACGTAAGTAAGTAAAGTAAGTAAAGAGCAGAACATTAAGAGAAAAACAAAAATTAAGTTCTTAAAAATAAACAAAATTGTGATAAATATATGTCTGCATTTTGTACGCTTAGGTTTGTAGTGTCTTTTTTTAGGAATTATTGGTAGATGAAAATGACACTGAAATACATTTTTATTTTCTGAACATAATGGACTGTCTTAGCGTAAATGAAAAATAATTTGCAACCTGTCTATAGGATAATCTGAAATAAGTACACACAATAAATCCATAAATGGCATGCGATTTGATTACTGGCAGAGATAATTTTCAAAAGAGTTTTGATCTTTATTCAGAGTACAAAGGACAATGCATTAAAGAAAATGAATTTCGGCTTCTACATTATCAAGCACTGCATAATTTTCTCTATCTAACGTTCTTTTAAAATTGTAATACTTAAATTCTCACTGCTCATGTAGTATTTGCTGTCAAGCAGCGAATTAACTAAATCTTAAAATAATTATATGTGTTCGAACCTACAGTGTATTAAAAAAATGACATTTTCACTATCATCTTGAATAATAATTGTGGACTAATTTAATTTGTAACGGAAAAATAAAATAAAAAGTTTCGTTTTTTTTTTTTTTTTTTTTTTTTTTTTTTTGGTGTGACTGTGGGCTCCTATCCTGACCTAAAACTGGTCGGGCTCCCGTTTTTAAAATTTCTGGATCCTCCACTGCTATACGTACAGCATGTAATCGGCAAAATAATACCGACGTCGCGCACGATGTTGGTGTCAAAAGGTCAAAAATTACTATTGCTGCGGCATTTGCGCTATTTCCATAATTTTAAAACAATTCACCATATGAAAACTATATATCATTCCTTCGGTAATTGTATACTTAATACATTTTTAAAAAAAAAATTGTTCAAAAAATTCCATTTATTCAATATATTAATTCGTTTATTCAGTCAATTACGTCAAAAACGCGTGTAGACGGGTAACAGGAGCGTCGCACATGCAATAACAAAATGTTGATAACTTCCATAAAACAAACAATACAAACATAAAATTTGACAGAAAAATTCAAAATATGATGTAAATGATGTAAATTCTAGCAATTGTGATGTTATTCAATCCGTTTGTTCTGTACGCGTTTCTCAAAATCCAAGACAGAGGTGTAGACGCGCATAAATCGACGAAATATGGGACACACATAAAAAGTCTTCGGTTACTTAAAAAAATAATTTTATGAGCTTAATCAATTTTGAAACTGCATCTCAATGATCCTTTGTGTGTGCAAGGAAGTATATTTTAAATTAGACTGATCGTTTGTGTGGATATGTATGTTGGGTTCCTGCTATTAAGCCGATTTATTTTGAATATATGGAATAAGATGGTGTGTCACAAAGTTTGGAGGTTCAATGTCACAAAGTTTTTAAAATTCGTTAAATCCCCAATTTTGTAATGCTGGGTGAAAAATTAATGCTGAAATTTATTTTAAATTCTACAAAATGTTGCCATGTTATTAAGGAAAAGATCTCTAGACAGAATTTTAACTTGCGGCATCTTAAATTTTGATAATAATTGCCATGTCACATGTATGTATAACATGTAGCGATATATGTCACAATTGAATTTTACGGCAAAAACATCACATTTAAATGCTACACATCGGGTTCCAACTCTCATAGCAGTCATTCTTTGCAATTTCATTTTTTTTCGTTTTCTTTTTTCAAATACAAGTTTACGATGATACCGGAGTTACTTTTCTTTGCTTGTTACAAAGTATGTTTTGTGCTGGTTCTGGTTAAATAAATAAATAAATCAATAAATAAATAAAATAATCAATTAAACTAGTGCTAATTGTAACGGGGACCGTTACAGATGTTCCCCAAACGCTCCCATACTCCCTTTTGGTGCCATATTCCCTGTAAGCTTCATTAAATAAGATAAACTCGATGCATTTGCGACTTTAACAACGTTTACCAAGAAGTGTACAAAGTTCATTCAAATTTTAGCATTGTACGCGTGCGCATGTGAATGCATGTGCGTAATGACCATATCATCTTGTCTACACAATCCATATATTTAAATATACTAAATATTAAAGTATTTAATCCAAACGTATTAAAAAGATACGCTCATTCAAGTGTTTTTTTGATTTTGCTCATTTCACATGCACGCACGTGCATACATGAGCATGGTGACCATATCTTCTTGTAGATGTCCGTTACATCTATATATGTTCTAAATCTCACCCCGTTTGGTTGAAAACCAAGGGAGTTATAGCTGTTAAAGTTTCAGCCAATCAGATTGCAGCGCACGTACATGCACGTGTATGCATGTGCATGGTGACCATATTTTCTTGTAGTAGACCAGTATATCTATCTATGTTCCAAATCCCATCCTGTTTGGTTGAAAATCAAGGGAATTATAGCTATTTAAAGTTTAAGCCAATCAGATTGCAGCGCACGTGCATGCACGTGTTTTAATGATAATTGCTATATATCATGTTGTAGGATATACTTATGCATGGCTATTTTCAAAATTTCAAAGGATTTCGTCAAAAAACAAGAAAGATATTGAGACTTTAGTTTCAGCCAATCAGAACAAAGCGCACGTGCATGCGCGTGAGATCTTGCTATTTTGACCATGTCATATTGTCTATGCTTCTAATATATCCTTATATTATAAGTTTCAAAGCATTTCATCAAAAATTTTAAAAGTTACGCCTATATCAATTAAATCGGTCATTTCACATGTTGCACGTGCACGCTCTTGCAAGCACGTGCGCGCAAAATGACCTTCGTTCCGCAAATCTACATAACATGTCTACTGACCCTAAAAACATTTCACCTTAGTCGGATGTATAGTTTACGAGATCATTCCCGGACAAAAAAGTACCCAGGAAGAAGAAGAAAAATAATAATAATAAGAAACAGAGTAAAAACAATATGTTCCCCAACTTCGTTTGGGGAACATAATAAATATATAAATTAATAAAAAAAATAATCAAAAAAGTACAAATAAAAATATGTTGTTTTGAACATAAGTAGTATAAGGGGTCTAGATGGGGGGTTCAACTGAGTGCACTTTTGGGGCTGGGGGGATAGGGGGTTCAACGGAGTGCACTTTTGGGGCTGGGGGGGATAGGGGTTTAAACGGAGTGCAGCCCCTGGGGGGATAGGTGGGTCAAGGGAGATCAGATTAGGGGGGTCTGTTGGGGATAGCCGGGTCAACTCAGTACAGTCCTTGGGGGATAAGTGGGTCAATTCATTACATATAGCCCCCTAAATACGGGGTGTGTT